GGGTGCTGTGGGTGTTTCAAGCTCTGCTGGTGCTGCCGGGCCTGAGGTTTGTGGTTGCGGTGCTTGAGAATCAGAGTATAGAGGAGATTCAGGTCCTGTGGGGGCCACCTCTGGCAAAAGAAGTGTGTCTCGATGTGCCTTGCTGCATGCCACTGGCAGAAGAAAGGTCCAGTGCCCAAAGTGGTGGCCTCTTTCCTCTGCACTTTGCTGCCACTTGTAGTATAGATGGATCCCTTCCGATGAGTTGGAATCCCCCAGGGTTGGGCCATAGACACAGTCTTCAGGAATCTGACCGCTGCCAAGTGCATCCACCACCTGGGGGAGTGCATGTGGGGACAGTTTTTGTTTTTGTGCGCACTGTATGTGTAAAAACACATTGGAAACATGAAACAGAATGCAGCACGATGTGAATTCCTCACAAAACACAGTAATGCAAGGCCATGGTTTTAATGGGGTCCTTATCTTTGTATATGTATATATATAATATACGTATGTGTACAGTATCCAATTATAGTTTAATATTGCTCCCAAAAAGGCATCACTATCCTTTGCATCATTCTATCTCTTATAGCTGGCCAGTTCACAGAAGCAACCCTGCCTGCTTCTGAAGAGTGCAACGAATCCTCATCTTCAGTAAGCGTGCAATCCAAGGTACATCGGTGACATCAACCACAGGTGATTGTTTAATCTCATGTGCACGCTGCTGAACTTGCTGACATGAAGCCACTGAGTGCTTCATCACTGACTCTAAAAGGCTTCTGGCCTTGGCAACCTCTAGCTTCACATGAGATGGATGAATGGCATAGCCTGAGTCTTTTCTGGGTACCGCTTCCCATGCTAGAAGATCCTGAAGAGCACAAAGGCAATGCCAAAAGCACATCCCATCTGCAGGAACTGGGTGGATTGCAAACTCTATCATGGTCTGGACCTCCTCCTGGGACCGCTGCCTTGCCAGTGAAAGCGAAGACTGCATTTGCTGGCATATGGCTGATTTGACCAATGCATTTACCTGATCAGATACACTGACTCCCAGCAAGCGAATGTCAGACACATAGTATTGTTCATCCTTCTTTCGGTTCTCTGAAATGGAGATGCTGACTTCGCGAAAGACTGGAATGTCGGCAGGGATGTCTGTGCTGGCAGAGGCCGTGTTTGTGTTTGGATTTACAAGTTCCCATGCTCTCCACCGCCCAAAATTGCCAAACAAAAGCAGCAGAAGCTGGGGCAAGGTTGAATCCAACTCCATCAATTGGCTGCGGAAATGCTCGGGGTCATCACAATGGTTGCAATCCCACACTGCCAAGCCCACAGAAATATAGCCAGAACTTGTCCATCGCTCTGCCAGTTCAGGATGGGCTAAGGCTTCAGAAATCCCATGATGGAAGATGATGGCTTCCTGGACTGCTGCCGATGAACCACCCAGCACGGCCATCTGCACAGAGTCACGCTGTTCTGGGAGAGGCATGCCCTCCGGCTTGCGGATAATTCCCCGGTAGACTCTACAGAAGGCTGGTGGCAGAGAAGGCTTCGTAGATTTGGTGCAAGCAAGGAATGAAGCTGTCATATCCACAGCATCATGAAGGTTGTTGGCCATGGTGCCTGTGGTTGCTTCTGTGAGATCTGAAATGACATCTGTGGTGCGGCTTGCCATGCTCCTAATGGCCTTGGCCTGATCCATGACCTCCTTCGAGTGATGGCAGAGGCTCTTCATGCTCTTCTGAAGAGAACCGTCCTGGAGGAAGGAAATCCAAGAGAAAGACTATATAGATAATATCTATATATAAAGTGACTAAAGAACAAAGGATAAAAACACACACATCCGGAATATATCATGTTTATTCTATCTCTTGCAGTTGGCAGGTCTGGGAAAGGAACATCAACTGATGCAGGCCTTCTTGGACTGATCCATCTCCCGTATCCAAAGGACTGCAGCTCGCACATTCTTGAAGCTCTTGTGGAGTTGATCGGAATCAGATCTCCAGGAAGTCAAGATATCAGAGCCATCAAGTTTGAGCTCAGCCTGCACTCCTGGAACCAAAGTGGAGAGAATATGCCCACACATCCTCTCCTCCAAATCCTTCACTTGACCATTTGCCATCCTGCGAAGAATGAAGTCCCGCTGAGCTGACACATTTCTTTTGGAGTCTCTGTTTGGATCCCAACCATAACGTACCAAGAAGTCATGCCTAGGCGTCGGCTTCCGGAGCAGCTTATCAAATTCACACAATGTGTTCAAAGCAAACTTCTCGTAGAAGTTTCCTGCGATCATTGAAATCTGCTTGCACCCGTATGTGGTCAAAGGGAACCTGCGAGATATCTTCTCGATGTTGATGGTAACAACGGTCTTGTGTACTTTCATATGCGGAGTGACCTCACCATTGCGAAAATCTTCAATGTTCTCCTTGTCCTCTTCCGGCTCATCTCGGGGTGAGGGTGGTTCAGCTGGAGGAGGAAGTGGGGGCGCATCTGCATCTGTGTCTTTTGATCGACGTTGCGAACGGGCCTCCATTTGAGGGCATATTTTCTTGCCATCCTTCAAGGTGCTAAGATATGTTTTTAACCAGAATCCTTTTTGGAACATGCTTAGATGTAAGAGATAGAATATTCTTGAGCAAAATTACTATGGCATCCACCCTGCCCTTAACTCCTCAGCAGCTTTTTGCAGAAGAACAGCGTCGTACTTTTCTCGGGTGCGCCGGTTCTCCAGCACATCCCAAGCATGTATGAGCTTCGTGGTGGCCTTCTTGCTGTCCTGCACAGTGGCGGAGGTCAGATCCTATCTATATATATATACATAAACTTAAGATGGAGTGTATATGCATATGTTTATACCTTCTATCTACACACGTATGTTTATATATGTTTATATATATACATATGATTATATACACATTTACCTGTTTACATAAAGGCCTTCATCTTCAACCATGGCCCCACATGTATCGTAAACTGCTGAAAGATAGAATATTGTTTGAACCATGTTGAACAACTGTGCAGAGTGAGCATCACTCCTCGGAATCATCAAAGCTAAGCGTAGACAACCGCTCATCCACAAAACGCTTGATCTCACCTTTCCCCTTGCCGGCCAAGGAGATGACCCGGGTGAGCCCACATTCATCACATGGGACTCCACAGGTCGCGTAGTGGTCTTTTGCACCAAGGATGCTAGAAATCATGCTCCCTTGCATGAATCCTTGACCCCGAATGTGCTACGGTGCTAGCATATTGCCTGCTTCCCGAATCCTAGTGCAAATCTCAGCAAGCTTGACGTGCATAAGTCTGCATATTATGTATAGACATAAAACAAAAAATATTATTTTTTGCAACCAAATTTTCTATCTCTTAACTCTCTTCTGGGATGGTAACAAGATGGAATATTTGTCAATCGTAATTTTACGAATGAAAAATATTCTATCTTTCGGAAGTTTACTATATATAACTTGCGTTTGTTTTGAGCCTTGTGAACCACGATGGCCTCCAACCTTGTAGCGAGGGCCTCCAACCATGTTGTCGCGATGGCTTCTAACATTGCTGTTTGAGTTTTGTGACTTGCAGTTTTGAGTCGTGTGACTGTGAACCATGATGGTCTCCTACCTAGTCGCGACCTCCAACCTTGTCACGATGGCCTCCAACCTCTTAGCGGTGTCAGGTTGGCTGGTGGCAAACCGCAAATCCGTACCATAGGAATTTTGCCGATTGTGAGTGTTTTATTGATAACTAATGCTGGCTGGCAGTAACTTGAGATCACCCAGGTAGTGGTCGAACTTATAAAGTTTTGATTTGGTAGCGTATGAAATCGTACGAACGTGGTATTGGATCACATGTTGAGATTTGCCCGTTGTCAGCCTTCTTCCAGCACAGCACTCCATGAGGCCAGCTACGATCGGGTCAAGGAAATCTGCAACAAGTTGGAGTTTTCCGACAAGCTGATGCGTCGTTTGGAGCAGGTACTTGGGGTGACTTTGGCCCAACCACGTTGTCAACAGCCATTTCGTGGAGAACAAACAAACTTCAAGTTTCTCTGTCAGGATTCAGGTCCAAAAAAGGTGCCCTCAGGAATGACAAATTCAAGAACTTTGGATACTGATCACACATACTAAAGCGCCCTTGTAATTTAAGTGAGCAGGGTAAGCCAATGGCCACAGAATATATGATTCACTATGAGGCTTCAAAACACACATTTGCAGGACTGGAGCGGCCTGAACAAGGCGGGAGTCTGTGGTGAAGTCTTGTGGATTGTTACCACAGCGACCTCGTGACTTGGCAGGTTCTGCAAAGTAAAAGGTGCAGACATGGGACCCCTTTTAGACCAGCTTCCTTTGGAGTCATTTTCCAAGTTTAATCCTAATGACCACTCTTGCCCCGGGACTCGCCATCACAAGGCTTTGCGCCCTCTGCCAGGAGGATGACCATGCCTGGTTGAGTCAGCTCACCTCCACAGATCAGATGCAAATCCATTTGGCGAGGGCCTTCATCAGTAATCCTCACGTGCTGGTGCCTTGGGCTTTGTGGATGGAGGGATGCGAACGCTTCGTCCAGCACGGTGCCGGAGGTGAAAACAGAAAATGGGCCGTCAGAAGTGTCAAGACATGTGTCCTTAGTGCTCCAATAGCGATAGCTTGGGGTCGTAATACACTCTTTAGGCGGCTGGTCACGCTCAGCCAGGTGGTGTCTCGGTATGTTTTCATATTTAGGTGGTGTCCCGATCATATTTTTGTGGTGGTGTTTCGGTGATGTTTCATTAAGTGGTGCCTCGGTTAGTTTAGGTTGTGTCTCGGTGATGTTTAGGTGGAGTGGCGGTGATGTTTTCCTGGTGTCTCAGTCATGTTGATGAGTTATCTCGGCCACGTTTCTGTGATGCCTCGGTCACGTCTACGTCGTGTCTCGGTCATGTTTATATAGTTGTATTTGGGTAATGTTTCTGTGGTGTGTCGGTCATGTTTTGGTGGTGTCTCGGTCATGTTTCGGTGGCTTCTTGCTCATGACTAGGTTTTCGCAATGTTTTTTGTTGTTGTTGCTGTTTTTGTGGCGTATGGTTCTGTTTCACGGTGTTCGCTGATATTTTGGTGGTGTCTCGCTTATGTTGTGGTTGTCTCTCGGTCTCAATCTTTGCGCGTATGTGAACTGTGTGCTTGCGTGTCCATACACCTGGTGCACATTGCCCGCCAACGCTTCATTCAAACGAATTTCTTCCCTGGTGCCAGAGCTTACTTTATGGTCTCTCTGACAATTGCATTCATTGTACTTTTCTTGTACAAATTATGCGTTCGTCTGTAACTGCACTCTCTGTCTGGTTTAGTAATAATTTAAGGGCTGCCGCCCCTGCCGCCGACCCCGGCCACTGCTGCAG